ATTCTAAGGTTTCTCCATGTAGTATAACAAGGACAATAACAAGGAAAAATATTCTAAAATCATGTACTTTACAATGATAAGAACTTGAAAATCTCATTATTTTSTCAATCCTTCACATATWTGTACTGTAGTTTCTAGTTTTATCACAGGCAGCCCAAGCMCAGAGAGAAAGCTAAAACTTGAGTTTTTTTATTTAAGATGATGATTGCTGAGCTTGGGCTTCCTGTTTTTTTCTCTAGCTTTCTTGAATCAATAGATGAGGTGATGGTTTTGGCACCCCTGCTGAGGAGTAGCCAAAGCAAAGTGTTGCAAAATAACRAGGATATAGTGAGAAATCAATGTCAAATAATTCCTGCTGAATTCGAATATGGAAATAGTTATCAGTTGCAAACRTTAGATACTGCAAAAAGGAGTWCACTGGCCAAATTTGAAGGGCGTACTTGATCTARTGGAGCGAGTAAACGCATTTTTAGTTCCCCATACATTTCTCTGTAATTTCCGGGGTCATCAGCACGTGACGTGYGTGAAAAATACAAAGAAATGTATTGAGAACTAAAAATGAATTTACTCACTCCCTAGATGAACTGTTTCCTTCAGGTTTGGCCAGTTAACTCCTTTTTTTAGTATCTAATGTTTGCAATGGATAATTCTTTCCAAATTTGAATCCAAAACTGTCACCTCAACTATTCACATTCAAATTTAACAAACAAGAGTGTTTTTAACTTATATTTTGGTCAGAAATTGCTTTGACAATGTAGAATTTATCAACTCAATAGTCACCCTTATCCGAAATTGAACTTAAAGTTGTATGACTTTCCTAATTCAAACAATCTTATATAAGCTTAAAGGTATTCCTCATGTTTGAAGAAGTACAGTTCAAAATAAATAGATAATTTTACCTTCAGTTTCATGTTCCTTTCCTATGTCATCTTTAATGTCAGCAGTATTTGTCTATCATCAATAAAACTTACATTTAACAAAGAAGAAAAAACACCTTTATGCATGCCTTTAATAAGCTTTAAGTTTATCTACAGTGAAAAAAAAATTATAATTAATGCTCACCTGTTTTTCATCATTTCCTTCACTGACATCAGCTGATTTTTGGGTAGTTGTTGTCTCACTCATGTTGTATTAATCTAAAACAAAAATGCTACATAAACACAGGGAAAAGTATTCAGACTTCGCACAGTATGTACACGTAGCTGCAAGTTTCGTTTGGCGAGTTGGCACGACTTAGTAACAGAATCCTTCGATAGAGTAACTTCCAAAACTGTACTTTGGCAAGTTTGTAAACCTAAGTAATTATGAATTTCTAAATCTCAAGTTTCAAATTGTCGCTGTATCTTAATGAAAGTCTTATTAGGACAAGCAATGTAACCTAAATTTCGCCGCAAAATTAAGAGCATTCCATTCACGTAATACAAAAAGAATCTGATGTAAGCTAGAGCATATTTCAACCAGAAAAAGTAATAAACAAGATGTAAATGCTATACTTTACCTCTAATATAAGTTAAGAAGAACTAAAAACTAAGAAACACAGTGTTATCCAGTTATTTTAAGCAGACTTTTATCGTCTTTCTCTAAAACTTTGTCGCCATGTTGATTTTATGCGCATTACCAGGTGCGCATAAAAAGAAGCCGCATTCCGCTGACGCKCTATCGCTTGTGTTCTGAGCCGCCAACGCGGCATTGTTTTCGCGCCAAAATAACGCTATTCCGAGCGGCGCTCTCAAGAGATCAAATATGCCGAATTACATAAGACCATAGAAATGAAAAAGACCGAAAACAGCAAAAATAAAACCAGCTCCAGTTGGAGCTGCATTCAAACGAACTGCAAGGGGTCTACTGTCAGCAGGATAAAGCATTTCGCCACTTGAAAAAAGTGGCTGACTTTTAATTTGCGCATGCAGCTTCAACATTTTTTTTAATTCTGTGATAGTTTTGTGATTATATTGTAAACCGTTGGGACGGAATCGAAAAAATAAAACCAAAATTGTGTCAAAATTCTGTATTTTCCATTTGGCTAGTAATAAAGAGATGTATTTAAAAACGACTTTATGGAGCTCCTTCAATAAATGTTTGTCTGAGACGGTAGCATTCCGTTATTTCAATCAGGACTTGTCAATGACTGCTGTCAAACTTTTATTCTATAACTACACATGCGTCAAGATACGTAGACTGATATAAAATCATTATTGTAGATGCATCCCACACATTTTCGTCTTATAAAAGCACAACAAAACTGCTTCCTGATTTTTACAAGCGAAGGGATAGAGTACCTGGGAACGAGGTTGTCGGGAGTACAGACGGGGACGGAACAACGAACAAATAATGTTTTTAACCTCTTTAACTATTTTGTTTTTTAATATTTTTTTATGTAGCAAAATATACATTTAAAACCGTATTAACATCAGGACTAGGAATTGTGACTTGTAAACCAGTCAGTCACGTAAAAACCTCCCTTAATGTCTATGTACAATTCAATAATTTTTTGATATCTATGGGTTGAAACTTGTAATAATTTGTCTTTTAGTTGTGATACTTTATCGTTGCGGGTTTATACTACTAATATTTGAACGCAGTCAGCCAGCGCTGGTACCATGTTAGAATTCATCATGGATTGGATGCTGTTGAAAAGAACAGAAAAGAAAAWRTSWMWATWKWRAWMWMAWWTWTAWAAARWA